CCCATCTCTACTAAAAATACAAAAATTAGCTGGGTGTGTTGGTGGGTGCCTATAATCCCAGCTACTCAGGAGGCTGAGGCAGGAGAATCACTTGAACCTGGGAGGCAGAGGTTGCAGTGAGCCAAGACTGTCCCACTGCATTCCAGCCTGGATGACAGAGCAAGATGCCATCTCAAAATAAATAAATAAAAATAAATAAATGAAGTTGCTTTAACAGTTTATAAAAATAAAAAACACCTACTTTTTCAGTTAAAAATAAATAAATCTTCCCATGTAACAGTCATAACGTATGGATTATATCCATTTCTGGTTGGTCATTGCATTATCTCTTGATAGTGTGTTTTTTTGTTTGTTTGTTTTTCTTTTTCTGTCATAAGTATTTTGGTTGTAGGCCAGACATCTTGTGTAGAACAGTAGAGAACGGGATGAATGGTTTTTATGCCTGAAAATGGACATATGCTTTTGTGTTAGTCTGTTCTTGTGTTGCTATGGATAAATACCTGAGAGTGGGTAATTTATAAAGAGGTTTAATTGGCTCATGGTTCCAAAACTTGCACAGGAAGCATCATGTTAGCCATCTGTTCAGCTTCTAAGGAGGCCTCAGGAAACTTACAATCATGGCAGAAGGCAAAGGGGAAGCAGGCTCATCCTACATGGCCAAAGCAGGAGAAAGAGAGAGTGGGGGAGGTGCCACACACCAGATCTCATGAGAATTCACTCACATACAGTACCAGGGGAAGATGGTGCTAAACCATTCATGAGAACTCTGTCCTCATGAGCCAATCACCGCCCTCCCAGGCCCCACCTCTAGCTTTGAGGATTATATATATATTTTTGAGAAAGAGTTCCACTCTGTCACCCAGGCTGGGGTTCAGTAGCTTGATCTTGGCTCACTGCAACCTCTGTCTCCTGGGTTCAAGCAATTCTCCTGCCTCAGCCACCATGCCCAGCTAATTTTTGTAGTTTTAGTAGAGACAGGGTTTTGCTGTGTTGGCCAGACTGGTCTCAAACTCCGACCTCAAGTGATCCTCCCACCTCAGCCTCCCAAAGTATTGGGATTACAGGTGTGAGCCACTAAGCCTGGCCTGGGGATTACATTTCAACATGAGATTTGGGTGGGGACACAGATCCAAATCATATCAATGTTTTGTTTTGTTTTGTTTTGTTTTGTTTTGTTTTGAGACAGGGTCTTGCTCTATCACTCAGTCTGGAGTTCAGTAGTGCAATCCTGGCTCACTGCAGCCTGGACTTCCTGGGCTCAAAGGATCTTCCCACTTCAACCTCCTAAGTAGCGAGTACTAGAGGCATGTGGCACCATGCCTGGCGAATGTTAACCCTTTTTTTTTTTTTTTTTTTTTTGTAGAAACAGGGTCTCACTATGTTGCCCAGGTTGGTCTCAAACTCCTGCCTTCGACTGATACTCCTGCCTCAGTTCCCAAAGCACTAAGATTACAGGTTTGAGCTACCATGATCAGCTAGGCGTGTGCTTTCTTTAGCTAAATCCTTAGTGTTTGGGGTTGAGTCAATCTAGTGAGGAGTTGAGCTGGATTTGTTGAATTGAGTTGGTGGCTTGTATGAAGATTTTTCTCAATAACTGCTTGAGCTTCAGCTTTAAGTCTTTTCTTTGCACCTATGCCTTAGAGAAGGCCCTCTCCACACATTCCCCTGCCCGTTTTACAGAAGTAAATGCCTGTTACTTTCTACTCAACTCTTGCCACCCTGGTGTGGAAGAGAGTGCCTTCTGTTTTACAGGCTCATCCTCAATCTTACACAGGTATTGTGTCCCTGGGTCTTGAAGGTGGGTCATTGTCATCAGCAATCTTCCCTCTGTCAGCAATAGGGAATCTCTAATGGCCTTTGTCCAGGGCAGTTTTCTGCCTCTCTTTCACAGGTAGAAAATTTTTTTTTCTGTTCACTTCTCTCAGCAATGAATCTTCACCTGTGGCCTGAGGGTAGCAAGTTTTTTCCCCTCTCCCAGTGATCGAAGGCAGTTTGGCAGGGGAGATAGATGAGAACAATCCAGGTAGAGCTCTGTGTCTTTCCTGCAGTGATAGCTGCTCACCTTTCCCAGGCCTGCACCATGAGGGGAACCTATTTTCCTATGGTCTTTCTTTTTTTCTTTTTTTTCAACTTCCATTGCCTCTGACCCAAGTCAGTAGCAAACTTTATTACTTATAAAGATTTAAAAACATTTCAATTGTATTTATAACACAAATTTTAGGCAACACACTCTTATGAATGTGATGGTTTTAAAGGTTAATACCTATCCAAGTAAAAAAAATTATGCTTTCATGTAGAAACAACTTTAGCCCGGGCAACAAACATAGTGAGACTCCATCTCTGCTTAAAAAAAAAAAAAAATTTAAAAAGTATATCCATCAAACTATATGTGATAAGGGAAAAAACAAACAACGGGGCCCAAGTCAGTTAATGGAGGGGAGGTACCTGCTAGGTTAAATCTCTTCCTCTTGGTAGTTGGGTTATGTCAATATTTGCGTTTAAAAGAAATCTGGATCCCTTGGGAAAGTGAGAGGAGTGCCATGGCCTGCACTTAGAAGATGAAGACATGGATTTTTACATCTTCTACAAGGAAAGAAAAAGGGAAGAGAGAGGGTGAGAGAAGACGGAGATGTGATCGCTGGCATCGCTTCACCTGAACGGAATACTAGGATCTGTGCCTATCATTATGCTTGGACTTAGCCCCGAAAGTGGCAATTATTTAAGGTAAAAACTGTTGGGGCACGGTGGCTGGAGCCTGTATCCCAACACTTTGGGAGACCAAGGTGGGAAGATTACTTGAGGCCAGGGGTTCGAAACCAACCTGGGCAACATAGTGAGAATCGTGGGTCTACCAAATAAAAATTTGATAATTAGCTGGACACGGTGGCACACACCTATAGTCCCAGCTACTCAGGGGGCTGAGGCGGGAGGAGCACTTGAGCCCAGGAGTTTCAGGCTGCAGTAAGCTATGATCTCCCCACTGAACTCCAGTCTGGATGACAAAGCGAGATCCTGTCTCTAAAATAAATACATACATATGTACACAGGTAAAGCAAAAATGAAAAAAAGATATAAGTTATATATCCTTTTATAATCTTATATATTTTTGTATACATTCTATCTTATATGTATATCATATATATAAGATTTACATGTATATATGTATGTAAAAATATACAAAAAGATATAAGATATATGTATAAGACAGAATGAGCCAGAGACACTTCACAGTCATATTGACAAATAGAACAACAGCTTGAAAACATCTGTAAGCAGGTTTACTTTCAACAGTGGTGCCTTATTTTCCTGAATTAATGTAAGATCTTACAACAGTGCTCCACAATTGCAAAGTCATGTAATATTTTTCCAAGTTCCTTCTTCTGTATTAAATTACTTAATTTTCATGATAATCTTATGAGATAGTGTAGCAGGACGAGCCGCAGACAAAACCTCTCAGACACGAGTTGTAGAAGGAAGGGCTTTATTCAGCTGGGAGCAGCCGCAAGCTACTGCCTTAAAATCCGAGCTTCCCGAGTGCACAATTTCTGTCCCTTTTAAGGGCTCACAACACTAACGATTTCACATGAAAGGGTCGTGATTGAGTTGAGCAAGCAGAGGGTACGTGATAGGGGCTGCATGCACCGGTGGTCAGAGAGAAACAGAACAGAGCAGGGAGTTTCACAATGTTCTTCTATACAATGTCAGGAACGTTGGTTTCTAAGTCATGAGTTGATTTTTAACTACTGGGTTTAGGCCAGGCAGGCCCATGCCTGGTTCCGGGCCTGGCGCTGGGCTGCCTGTCTTTGGTTTTATTTTATTGTTTTTTCTTAAAACAGGTACTGAGTATAAAACAATAGAAAACAATATGAGAGAGTGTCTCTCTTTCCTCAATAGGATTAGGCAGGGTGGGAAAGACGGAAGAGGCCCAGAGACGTAAAGTGAGTTGCTCTAGACCCAGAATACAACACACATCTACTCTGTGAGGGACTGTGTGTACATGTGCACCCACGTACACACGCAGAACAGGGGAAATAGAAATGTGTCCTTATTTTGATGATTGGAATCCGCATCTACATACCAAATAATCTAAGCCAGAATCTGTGGTGGTGATGATGTTTTCACACATTTGACAAATCTTTATTGATTGCCTAATAATATTGTGGTGGGCCTTGAGCCTGGGGATATAGTGAAGAACAAGATAGAGAACCTGGCCAGGAGCAGTGGCTCACACCAATAATCCCAGTACTTGGGAAGCAGGAGGATGGCTTGAGCCCAGGAGTTTGAGACCAGATTGGGCAACATATTGAGATGCCCATCCCCACAGAAATTAAAAAAAGACTTAGCCAGGTGCAGTAGTACATGCCTGTGGTCCCAGCTACTCCAGAGGCTGAGATGGGAGGATCACCTGAGCCTAGAAGTTAGAGGCAGCAGTAAGCCATGATAGTGCCGTTGCACTCTAGTCTGGGTGACAGAGCAAGACCTTGTCTAAGGAAAAAAAAGACAGAGAGCTTGTGCTTGAGGAGATCACGGTCTAGCAGGAGATGGTATGTGCTCTATAGGGTTCAGCAACAACATGGGACAATCAGAGTGCAGGGAGGGGTCCTAAGTTTTATCTAGAGGGAGTCATAGAAAGCTTTCTTTTTTTCTTCCTTTCTTTCCAGGCCAGAATAAGTGTTACCAGCTCTGCAAAGCCTTTCTCTCTTTCTCTCCCTCTACCCTCTACCCCTCCCCCCCCCCTTTTATTTTAGACTGAGATGGAGTCTCGCTCACCCAGGCTGGAGTGCAGTGGCATGATCATGGCTCACTGCAACCTCTGCCTCCTGGGTTCAAATGATTCTCTTGCCTCAGCCTCCTGAGTAGCTAAGATTACAAGCTTGCACCACCATGCCCAGATCATTTTTGTATTTTTAGTAGAACTGGAGTTTCGCCATGTTGGCCAGGCTGATCTCAAACTCCTGACCTCAAATGATCTGCCCACCTTGGCCTCCCAGTGCGCTGGGATTACAGGCGTGAGCCACCGCGCTCAGCCTGCAAAGCCTTTCTTGACACATCTGTCTTTCCTCACTGGTCTGTTCGTTTTTTGATGGTAGAGACCTTGTCTCACTCATTTTTGTGTCCTCAGCATGGAAAACGGTGGCTGGCTAATAGTGGTTACTCAATAAATATTTGTTGAATGGATTAATAAAAGAATTCCTAGCAGTCATTTGGCATCGAATCACGTACAGTCGTGCTTTCTATTGTTTTCTAGGGCATGTCTTTCCAATACAAAATGATGGTAAATTTTCTGGGTACAGAGACGGCTCTTACTTTATTTTACAGGCTACCCAGTGCCTAGTCCCGTGGTGGATAATGCTCCCAGGGATGCGCCTGTTATAAGTTCTTGCAGAATTCTTTTGTTTTGTTTTGTTTTCAGACAGCGTCTCACTCTGTCGCCCAGGCTGGAGTGCAGTGGCGCAATCACAGCTCACTGCAAACTCCATCTCCAGAGGCTCAGGGGATCCTTCCACCTCCACCTCCCGAGTAACTGGGATCACAGGCGTGTGCCACCATGCCCAGCTAATTTTTGTATTTGTTGTAGAGATGGGGTTTCGCCATGTTGCCCTGGCTGGTCTCAAACTCCTGGGCTCAAGCGATCCACCAGTCTCGGCCTCCCGAAGTGCTGGGATTACGGGCGGGCGCCACCTCTGCAGAAGTCCTAGGCCTGCAAAACAGTCTTTAAAAGATATAATATTTAACTTGAGAGGTGCAGTCCTCCTCTACAGTGAGGGCAGGCTCAGCGAAGGAGGGCCCAAGACATAAAACTAACCAATGGCAGGAAAGCCCCCATGCCCCACCCCAGCTGCCCCTCCTTCCTCGCAGCAGCTGAGCTTTTCTTTCAGTCCTTCCCTGCAGAGCCAGAGGGAATCAATTCCACAAGCTGGGGTAAGCAAAGGTGTTGGGGGAGGGCAGGTGCCTAGTTTCCAAATTTTTAAAGAGGTCGTATTTAAACTAAATGCAGGTAGTTCTGTGCCTCGTCAGGAAGGCCCTAATTTACACACTATAAGTTGGTTATGTGTGTTTAATGAAATCATACTTCACGTGCTTGAAGAGATCACGTTTTTAAAAGCAAATTCATGGGGAAGGGAATTTTCTGCAAAGTAAAGAAATATCTCAGAATGAACTTATATTCTAATTGTGAATGTCTATGTATTAAATTTGCTTATTCTGAGGCCCAAATGTTTGCTTATTTTCTTTAAAAACTTTACTTGGGATCATTAACATTCATACTAATTATTTTAAATGTAAGTTTCATTAATTTCACTGATAAGGAGTTCTCTCTGGGGCATAAAACATAATTCTTACGCTGCATTATAGTCAGGAATTTGAAGGCTTGTTAATCTTTGTCTGTTCAGCAGTACTTTAGGGTCTGGGTCTTTCCTACTGCCTTGCTCCCCGTTTCCTTCTTACTCAGCAAGCTTAGTGGGGCCTCCCCCCGGTTAAAAGGAGTAGTTACCCTATGACTCTTCCTTTGAGGGTCCAAGTAGGAACCTTTATAGCCCAGATCCTGGGGCCCTGGGCCGCCCACTGATTCATTTCAATTCCACTGCCTTTCATTTCTCTTCTGTATCTTATTGCCCCTTCTTTAGCTATTCACAAGAGGAAATAGGATTTTATTTTTCATTATGTATTATATAAAAATTACACATCCAGTCTTCTCAATTCTCAGTTCTTAAAGAAATCAACTAAGCCTTCAAAGACTTTTAGTTTTGCATTTTCCATGGGTGACGGGTCCTAAAAATTCTCCCCATCCCCACAGGACAGAGTGACCAGTCTTTCAGGCTTGGCCCTGAATTTGTTTTTCAGTTGAGGAGAACAAGAGATGGAGAAAGCAAGTGGAAGACAGTCCATTGCCCTGTCCACAGTGGAAACTGGCACAGAGAACCCGGGGCTGGAGCTCATGGTAATTCACCAGTTTAGTTTCTCTCTGCAGAGCTGTGGACGGCTGCATGGCCTCCTGTAGGGTGTCTGACTGCTCTCAATCCCCATCATCCCTGGCAGGGCTCCGTGACTGACTCCAACACTCCCTGTGCTTGTAGGAAAAAGAAGTAGAGCCTGAGGGAAGCAACAGGACTGACACACAAGGACACAGCCTGGGGGATGGACTGGGCCCTTCCACTCACCAGAGGTACTGGTGTTTTGGAATCTTGTTCAGTTAGGAAAGGGCCTAGGGAGGGCTACCCCTTCGAGCAGCTTGTGGTCTTATTACAACCGCTCCACCTTACCATGTGTACATATATATATATGTACCTTATGTAATTAATTGTTACTTAATCCTGTGCCAAAAACAATAGGAGTTCAGCAGTATCAGTGTTGGTTGGACTGAAAACAAAAATAACAACAATGGTAATAATAATGGCTAACAGATCTTGAGTGTATACTTCCTATTTTGCAGATTGCTTTATGTTATACATTTATTTTCATAACAACATGTATCTATTCATTTTAATCCCTTTAGAAATTAATTTACTGTATCATTAAAAAAAAGGTAACTCTTCTGGAATACTCAGATTTGGGAATGGTGGAGGGGAAGGGAAACCTGGGGAGAAAACACAGAAGGACCTGTTATAAGGATAATAAAGAAAGTAAAAAAGGACAGTGTCTTAGAAGTCCAAAGAGGAGTCTCAAGAATGAAGAAGGTATGTGAACAGGGGTGTTCACAGTGCTACCTGAACAGGGGTCTAGGAAGGAGGAGTGAGAAAAATCTTTGAATTTGTTCATGGATCTGGTCCCAGAAGTAATGTCAAAGAAAACTGTTTGAGTAAAATAGATAATATGGAAGGAAGCAATGCTCCATGGTCTGGAAAAGAGTGGGTATTTACAAAAAAGTGCAGAAGTCATACACTAAAAGCTGAGAAGAGGATATTGGATAGCTTCTAAAGGGAATACAGTGATGAGCCGCATAACGATGTTTCAGTCAATGATGGACCACATTATACAACGGTGTACAATGGTGTATATCAATGGTGTATATCATTACACAATGGTGGTCCCATAAAATTATACTACTGTATTTTTACTGTACCTTTTCTATGTTTAGATATGTTTAGCTACACACATACTTACCATTGTGCTACAATTGCCTACAGTATTAAGTACAGAAACATGCTGAACAGATTTGCAGCCTAAGAGTAATAGGACCCACCACACAGCCTGGATGTGTCATCAGCTATACCATCTAGGCTTCATAAGTACACTCTAAGATGTTCGCATAATTAGGAAATTGCCTAGTGGTGCATTTATCAGAATGTATCCCTGTTGTTAAGTAACACAGGACTATACATGGAGATGATTCAGAACAGCTTCCAAACAAAAGGTGATTTTGTTGTTTTTTTTCTCTTTATTTTTGAGAGCTACCTCAGTGACTTCTTACAATTTTTGTTTTCTTCACAATTTGCTTCTTTCTAAAAATTTTTGTATTATCATGTTTTATATATACTGAATTGACAGTAAACTCTTTGTAAGTTTTTCATGCTTACATGATATTTCATATTTTGCTTAGCAGTGTGGTCGTTAATCACGTGAGTCACACTGCTTGGGTCTGTATTCGAACAGTGGTATGCTGGTAAATGTTTAAGAATGGACTCTTCACCGGGATAGTAGCTCATGCCTGTAATCCCAGCACTTTGGGAGGCTGAGGTGAGAGGATCACTTGAGCCTAGGAATTCAAGACAAGCCTGAGCAACATAGTGAGACCCACCTCTACAAAAATTTTTAAAAATTAGCAGGGCGTGGTGGTGCGTGCCTGTAGTCCCAGCTACTCCAGGAGGCTGAGATGGGAGGATCACTTGAGCCCAGGAGGTTAAGGCTGCAGTGAGCCATGATTGTACCACTGTACTCCAGCCTAGGGAACAGAGTGAGACCCTGTCTCGAAAAAAAAGAAAAAAGAAAAAAGAACCGCCTCTCCGAGTGTAGTTTTGCAATGAATGTTGGTTAATATTTTTGCTCACCTTAATGAGGAGTAAGACCAGGGGTTGGCAAACTTTTCCTGTAAAAGACAAGATAGTAAATATTATGGGTTTTGTGGTTGATGTGGTCTCTGTTGCAATTACTAAACTCTACCATTTTCATAGGAAAGCAGCCACAGGTGATACTAAACAAATGAGCATGGCTGTGTTTTGATAAAACTTAACTTTTAAAAAGAAGGTGAGATGAACCTGGCCCACAGACCACAGCTTGCTAATCTTTAGTCTAGATGAAATAATAAATTAAGACTTCATTTACAGTATTTGCCTGTAAGGTAAAAACTCTCAACATGGCTGATTTCAAGTAACCAAAGGGATATCATTGAACAAGGAGTTGGGAAGAGATGTATCAGAGCACATCATTATACAAAATTTCCACCATGCATACAGCAGTCATGAGTAACTTCATGAGCTCACATCACAGAAAAATGTAGTAAAATAATTAGAAAACTATGAGTTTTTAGTATTTATTACCTTTGTCTTTAATGTAATTTAATTATACATTTATATAGTTTTAATTTTTAGTAATGGTTTGCACAATTCCTGAAAATGTGACAATCACCTCTCTCAAGCCAGCGCAGGCCAGCTTCCCCTGCAGACTCTACCACTTACCAGATTTTGGGCAAGTTATTTACCTTCTCTAAGCCTCAGTGTTCACCCTGTAAAACAAGAATAATATTAGCACTTAGCTGAAAAGATCCTGGTTTTTTTTTTTTTTTGCCAGACTGTTGTTGGCACCTTAAACTGCTCTGATATATAACGTGTCCAGTTCCCTTCAATTCTCATCGACTTTATATTTTCTCATATAAACAATGTTAACTAAAATTACATAGATATAAAATCATGCCTTAAGGTTCCTAACTTGCATTTATTTTTATTTTTTGAGAAATGAGGTCTTACTTTGTTACCCCTAGTCTTGAATTCCTGGGCCCAAACAATCTGCCGGTCTCAGCCTCCCAAAGTGCTGAGATTACAGGTGTGAGCCATATGCCTGACCTTCACTTCTATTTCTTTAAATTTTTGTAAAGCTATACATTTTCCTCCATTTGCCTTACTTTCCGTATTTCTGTGTGTGATTTTCTTTTCTTTTCTTTTCTTTTTGGAGATAGTCTCACTCTGCCACCTAGGCTGGAGTGCAGTGGTGTGATCACTGCAACCCCCACCTCCTGGGTTCAAGCAATTCTCCTGTCTCAGCCTCCCGCATAGCTGGGATTACAGGTACATTCTGCCGTACCCAGCTAACTTTTTTTTGTATTTTTAGTAGAGACGGTGTTTCACCATGTTGGCCAGGCTGATCTTGAACTCCTGACCTCAGGTGATCTGCCCACCTTGGCCTCCCAAAGTGCTGGGATAACAGGTGTGAACCATGAACCACTGTGGCTGGCCTACTTTTCTTTATCAACTAAAGTAAGTTCTGGATTTTGAACCTCATTTCCTTTCTCCCGACCAACTCAAATAGAACCCACATAGATTTCTTGTTTCCAGTTCTCCCCACCTCCTGCCAACCTGTCCTATATAGCTTCTACCAAAACTGCCTAAAGTATGCCTGAACTCCCTTATTCACAAATCTCTGTGGCCCCCCAGTTGCTCCTGAACAAAGCCAAACTCCACAGCCTGGTATTCAATTCTCCCCACAACCACTGCCCCCCAACCAGGATCTATATCCAACTTGACTTTCCAACATTAACTCTTGCAATTCCCTTTCTAATGCCACCCTATGTTCTAGTGAAAGTCAACTATCAACCGTTCCTTATATGTAATCCTCAATTTCCTGCCTCCATGTCATGCATGTCATTTCATCGTTGCTTCTGAGCATACTGTCTTCCTTTTATGTCTTTGAGCCCAAATACAACACATCTTTTAAGGCTCAACTCAAGAGCAATCATGTCCATGAAACTTTCCCTGATGCTGCCTCTCCTCACCTCAGTCTCACTGGCCCCAGTCCTAAGAGGTCCCTTCTTCCTCCAAACTTTTAACATTCTATCTGAACCTCTCTTATAACACTTTAAGCTTTTGACATTTTGTCACAGACTTACATGTACATTATATCCCCTATACTGGCCTGTAAACACATTGAGGGTGAGATAAATGTCTATTTCATCCTTTTGTCTCCTGTAACACTGAAAACAATGCTTCACCCATAGTTTATACTTAAAATTCCATAACATCCAAAATTCAATAAATACATGTTAGTAAGTTATGTATATAATCTAGATAATAGACTTTATTTGTAATTTTTTCATGTATACATTTTTCAATTCTGTTTTGTTTCTGTATTGATTTTTAAGTATTTATTTCTTTTTCTTTTTATTCTTTTGTTTGATTGACTCTGATGATCTGGGATTCTTTGTAGGGAGTAATCTGACATGTAGTTCTAAGCTGATGCTTTTCCATATTGATACCCACTTTTCCAGCAATAGTTATTAAATTGTGAGTTCTTTCTCTATTCTGATATTACTTTGACTTCATTAAGTTAATGTGATAATTTGGATCTGTTTTTAAATCTTTTGTTCCATTGACACAGTTCTGAGTACTTAACACTCAGAACTGTGTCATTGTTTACAATGTACAATAAAACTTGATGGGTCACGTATTTGCCTTAGTTTTACCTTTAAAAAATATTCCTTGGGGCTGGGCACGGTGGCTTATGCCTGTAATCCCAGCATTTCGGGAGACCGAGGCAGGCGGATCACTTGAGGTCAGAAGTTTGAGACCAGCCTGGCCAACATGGTGAAATCCAGTCTCTACTAAAAATATAAAAATACAAAAATTAAGCGGGCATGGTGGTGGGCACCTGTTGTCCCAGCTACTCGGGGGGCTGAGGCAGGAGAGTTTCCTGAACCTGGGAGGTGGAGGTTGCAGTGAGCCGAGATCATGTCATTGCACTCCAGCCTGGGCAACAGTGAGACTCCATCTCAAAAATATATATGATATACATGTTTTTTGTCAAATTTTATTTTATTATTTTTATTAATTTTTTTGAGACTGATTGCATGCCATAGTTTAACTGGTACAGTTTTTTTGCCTTTTTAGTGTAATTTTTTTTTTTTTTTTTTTTTTTTTTTGAGACGGAGTCTTGCTCTGTCGCCCAGGCTGGAGTGCAGTGGCCGGATCTCAGCTCACTGCAAGCTCCGCCTCCCGGGTTCACGCCATTCTCCTGCCTCAGCCTCCCGAGTAGCTGGGACTACAGGCGCCCGCCACCATGCCTGGCTAGTTTTTTGTATTTTTTTTTTTTTTTTTTTTTTTTTTTTTTTTTTGAGACGGAGTCTGGCGCTGTCACCCAGGCTGGAGTGCAGTGGCGGGATCTCTGCTCACCGCAAGCTCCTCCTGCCGGGTTTACGCCATTCTCCTGCCTCAGCCTCCGGAGTAGCTGGGACTACAGGCGCCCGCCACCTTGCCCGGCTAGTTTTTTGTACTTTTTAGTAGAGACGGGGTTTCACCGTGTTAACCAGGATGGTCTCGATCTCCTGACCTCGTGATCCGCCCGTCTCGGCCTCCCAAAGTGCTGGGATTACAGGCTTGAGCCACCGCGCCCGGCCAGTTTTTTGTATTTTTTAGTAGAGACGGGGTTTCACCGTGGTAGCCAGGATGGTCTCGATCTCCTGACCTCGTGATCCGCCCGTCTCGGCCTCCCAAAGTGCTGGGATTACAGGCTTGAGCCACCGTGCCCGGCCATTTTAGTGTAATTTTTAATAAGGCATAGCATGCATACAGAAAAATAAACATAAGCCTTAATGAATTTTCACAAAGCGAATACACCTATATGACCATCGCCCAGATGAAGAACCAAAACATTATCAGTACCCAAGAACCATTTTATGTTTCCTTTCAGTCAGCCTCCCTAAGGGTAATCATTATCCTGACTTTTAGCATCATAGATTAATTTTGCCTGTGTTTGGATTTTATATGGGAAGTCTAATTTATATTTTAAATGAAAATATACCATATATATATACTCTTGTGTTTGGCTTCTTTTGCTTCACGTTGTGTTTTGGAGATTCTTCCACATTATTGCATATATTGTACTTTGTACATTTTTAATTGCTGTATAGTATTTCATTGTAAGAATCTATCACAGTTTATCTGCTCATTTTACTGTGGGTCAGAATTTTAGTAGTTTCTATGTTTTTGCTATTATGGTACAGCTATGAATATTTTTGTGCATGTCTTTAGTAAAGATAAATACACCTTTCTATTGGGTATATACCTTGGAGTGGAATTGCCATGCTATAGGGTATGTGTATAGGTTTATGTAGCTTCAACAGATGCTAAACATATTTGTACCAAATTTCACTCCCCTGGCAGTGTTATGAGAGCATGTCTTTTTCCATTATCTCCATTGTGTGTGTGTAGTATTATCACATTGTAGCTTTGCTTTGTATTTCCCTAATGGCTAAGGAACTTGTGCACCTTTTCAGCTTTTTCTGGCCACTGAATATTCTCTTTTGTGAAGTGCCTGTTTAAGTCTTTAATTGGCAGCATTTTTCTTTCTTAGTGTATAAAAGTAGGAGTACGTTTTATAAATGATGAAATACAAACAAGAGTACATTTTAAGTACTTGCCATTAAAAAAATTGGTATGCGGCCGGGCGCGGTGGCTCAAGCCTGTAATCCCAGCACTTTGGGAGGCCGAGACAGGCGGATCACGAGGTCAGGAGATCGAGACCATCCTGGCTAACCCAGTGAAACCCCGTCTCTACTAAAAAAATACAAAAAACTAGCTGGGCGAGGTGGTGGGCGCCTGTAGTCTCACCTACTTGAGAGGCTGAGGTGGGAGAATGGCCTAATCTTGGGAGGCGGAGCTTGCAGTGAGCTGAGATCCGGCCACTGCACTCCAGCCTGGGCGACAGAGCGAGACTCTGTCTCAAAAAAAAAAAAAAAAATTGGTATGTGAGGTAATGCATGTGTTCATTAGCTTGATGTAGCCATTCCACAATGTATACATATTTTAAGGCACCATGTTGTATACCATAAACATATACAATTTTTGTCAATTTTATTTTATTTTCATTTTTTTTTTTAGAGATGGGGTCTCACAATATTGCCCATGCTGGTCTCAAACTACTGGGCTCAAGTGATCCTCCCACCTTGGCCTCCCAAAGTGCTAGGATTACAGGTGTGAGCCACTGCACTGAGCCAATTTTTGTCAATTTTAAAAAGAATTAAAAAATTAATACCCTGAATGACATTGCTACCACTGTAAATGATATTCTTTCATACTTTCTAGCTATCTGTCACAAGTATATAGACAAATCATTTTTGTGAGTTTATCCATCTACCTACCTATTCCTTTATTCAGCAAATTTTTTTTTTTTTTTTTTTTTTTTTTTTTTTTTTGAGACGGAGTCTCACTCTGTCATCCAGGCTGGAGTGCAGTGGCACAATCTCGACTCACTGCAAGCTCCGCCTCCCAGGCTCACGCCATTCTCCTGCCTCGGCCTCCCAAGTAGCTGGGACTACAGGTGCCTGCCACCACACCCAACTTATTTTTTGTATTTTTAGTAGAGACGGGGTTTCACCATGTTATCCAGGATGGTCTTGATCTCCTGACCTCGTGATCCACCTGCCTCGGCCTCCCAAAGTGCTGGGATTACAGGCATGAGCCACCGTGCCTGGCCAGCAAGCACTTATTGAACATGGGCCGGGCACTTGTTAGCAACCTAATGCAATAATAGTATGTGTTAGGTACTAAGTTAGGCACCAAGAATACAAAGATAAAAACAGAAATGCACCTTTCCCTGATATGCTCACAACCTAAGAAAGACAGGTAAACAGAAAAATGACAATATCATGTTATATGGTAAGTGCTAGAACAAAGATGTAAAATGCCACAAGACCACAAGAAAGTGAGCAACTGATTCTGACTGGAAGGAATCAAGGAAGGCTTTACTTAGGAGTTGACATTTAGTTGGATCTTGGAGGATGAATAGGAGTTTGTCAGATGGAGAAAGGTAATAGTGCATACCAGGCGTGGGGTGTGAACGGTTCTTACGTGTCCCGTGAAGGGTAGGATATTCAGACTGGCAGAACACTGGCTTGTATAGTGGGAAAGAGGCAAGCAGTAAGACTGTGAGACAAGAAGTCTTAGTTGGGGACATGCTATAAAGTCCTAACAGGTCTGGTTTTGTACTCAAGAGACAAAGGGATATTTTTTTCTTTTTTTTAATTTTTATTTTGCTCTGTCACCCAGGCTGGAGTGCAGTGGTGCGATCTCAGCTCACTGTAGCCTCTGCCTCCCAGGTTCCAGCGATTCTCCTGCCTCAGCCTCCTGGGTAGCTGGGATTACAGGCGCATGCCACCAAGCCCGGCTAATTTTTGTATTTTTAGTAGAGACGGGGTTTCGCCATGTTGACCAAACTGGTCTTGAACACCTGACCTCAGGTAATCTGCCCGCCTCGGCCTCCCAAAGTGCTGGAACTATAGGCATGAGCCACTGCACCCAGTGGCCAAAGGGATTTTTAAGCAGGAGAGGAAAAGGAACCATATTGTTTCTTAGAAATCAATTCTGACAGCAATGTGATGAGGGGATTGCAGTAGGGAGAGTGGTGGCAAAAGCTAGTTAAAAGGCTCTTACCATTGTTCAAGCAAGAGATGAAGAGGGCCTAGGCTAAGGCAGGTTGAATAGGAATAGATCAGAGAAGTCAAATCCCAGAGACTTTTGGTGAAGAACGGGCGAGACTGAATGATTGATTATAGGCTAGCCATTCTCAGGAAAAACACTGAGACCCCTGTCTGTATCCTCTCTTACTCCCGTTCTTGGTTCCTCAGGACATCTTTAATCTGATCCTTCAATGCAGACTGATTTTTATCTGTTTTCTTTTCATTATTATTTTATTTTTATTTTTATTATTTTATTTTATTTTATTTTATTTTTTTGAGACAGAGTCTCGCTCTGTCACCCAGGCTGGAGTGCAGTGGCCGGATCTCAGCTCACTGCAAGCTCCGCCTCCCAGGTTTACACCATTCTCCTGCCTCAGCCTCCCGAGTGGCTGGGACTACAGGCACCCGCCACCTCGCCCGGCTAGTTTTTTTGTATTTTTTAGTAGAGATGGGGTTTCACTGGGTTAGCCAGGATGGTCTCGATCTCCTGACCTCGTGATCCGCCTGTCTCGGCCTCCCAAAGTGCTGGGATTACAGGCTTGAGCCACCGCGCCGGGCCTATTTTTATTTTTTGAGACAGAGTCTTGCTCTGTCTCCCAGGCCGGAGTGCAGTGGTACGATCTTGACTAACTATAACCTTCGCCTCCCAGGTTCAAGCGATTCTCTTGCCTCAATCTTCCAAGTAGCTGGGACCACAGGCATGCACCACCACACTCAGCTAATTTTTGTATTTTAGTAGAGACAACGTTTTACAGTGTTGGCCAGGCTGGTCTCAAACTCCTGACCTCAAGTGATCTTCCCGCCTTGGCCTCCCAAAGTGCTGGGATTACAGGTGTGAGCCACCATGCCTGACCTTCATTATTCTTTTTTTGTTGTTGTTCTTTTGAGACAGTCTCGCTCTGTCGGGCAGGCTGGAGTGCAGTGGTGTGATCTTGGCTCACTGCAACCTCTGTCTCCCGGGTTCAAGCAATTCTTCTGCCTCAGCCTCCTGAGTAGCTGGGATTACAAGTTCATGCCACCACACCCAGTTCATTTTTCTATATTTTTAGTAGAGACAACCTCCACCTCCTGGGTTCAAACGATTATCCTGCCTCACCCTCCTTAGTAGCTGGGATTACAGGTGCCCGCCACCACGCCTGGCTAATTCTTGTATTTTTAGTAGAGACAAGGTTTTGCCATGTTGACCAGGCTGGTCTTGAACTCCTGACCTCAAGTGATCCCCCCACTCCTGCCTTGACCTCCCAAAGTGCTGGGATTACAGGCATGAGCCACCACACCCAACTTATTTTTTATTTTTATTTTTTAAACGCGAGGCTCTGTTCCAACCTGATATTCTAGGAATAGGTTGTTAATGAGTTTTGCAGAAATGAGTGTTCTTAATTGATTTCCTGCAGTACTCCTGAATTTTAGTTCCCAGGAAATGGTGAGTTGTGGTCAGGAGGTGATGGAAGAAATCTTTTCTAGGCATGTGATTTATATCTACTCTTGGACTAGTCCATGCCTGCCTCTTGTTTTGCAGGAGGCTTGCTCAACTGGCATTCGACTGCATATAATTTTAAACCAGCTTTATCTAGTACATCAGTTTAGGTCCCAACAGGAAACAGATGGCATACTTAAGAGAATTATGGGAGAATTTATTTACAAAGAGACCATTACAAAGATATGTATGAGGTGTGGTGACACCATAAGAAAGGATAGTGCAAGAACCAAAAGTCTTGAAGCAGTGAGCAGTGTCTATCCCTAGGCCTGAAGGAATAAGGTGTAAGAGCACCTGGCAGGAAAGTCAGATAAAAAGGCCTCCTCAACACACTGACCTCAGTCTTTTCATACACTGATCTTCTGTGGAGGTCCCAGTAGCAGAACGAAACTTGATAAGCCAGAGGACATGGGAGTACATTGATGTAGTTTACAGGAGTTCAATTCCCAGGGCACAGAGTGGGGTGGAGAGTGGCGCTGGAGGAGCACACCAAAGATATCTGGCACACATGGGAAGGCCAGGATTGAAATTAAATTCATTCCTTGATATACTTTGCAAATGATGTTCCAAAGATAATGGTGCTCCTCAGGTATGCTGCCCCTTTTACTCACTACTTTCTCTATTAAGCATGGAAAAATGAGGGAGGATCACTTGAGCCCAGGAATTTGAGACCAGCCCGGGGAACACAGCAAGACCTCATCTTTACAAAAATTTTAAAAAAGAAAATTAGCTGGGTGTAGTGGTGCACACCTGTAGTCCCAGCTACTCAGGAGGCTGAGGCAGGAGGATCACCTGAGCCTGGGAGTTCAAGGTTGCAGTGAGCCATGATCACACCATGCCACTTCTCTCCAGCCTGGGCAACAGAGTGAGACCTTGTCTCTTAAAGAGAAGAAAATAAAAGCAAAGCAGAGTTCTGGAGATCCTAAAGAATCATCTTGAGTTGATCCAGTCAGATGGTGATAAGCATTTTTTTCTCCTTTCTCAGCTTACCTGTATCTCATAGTACACACTCTGCTCAGCTAACACAGGGTTGGGCTCCCTGCAGCAGGGGCAGGAGGTGATGGGGGAAAGAATGAAAAGGAAGATTAGAAACTGGGAGTGTGTTAGATGGGAGGGGCAGCCATGGAACTCTATGGGCCAAAGGCCCAGGGCATTAGGAGTTAATGGCTGGTCCTAACCCTGGCTAAGCTGCCCTGCCTCACCATGACTGCCAGACTGGGACCTTCTTACTAGGATCACCTTCTTTGGAGCTTCCAAGATTTTGGAAATTAGAACTTTTGGCTCAGATGGCTGCAGCATGCTCAGCATGCTTAGGAGTGGCAAAGACAGGCAAGCCTGGCATCTAGGGAAGATGTGGCATAGAATGATGGTTAAGAGCTTAGATGCTGAAGCCAGAGTGTATATTCTGTGTCTGTTCCTTACAGCCTCTGTGACTTTGGGAAAGTTATTTAACTTCTCTGTTTTTCAGTTTCCACATCTGTAAAATGGGAATGCTAATAGTAACAGCTCCAGGGGTCTTAGGAGGAGTCAATGAGTTAGTATTTGCTAAGTTCTCAGAAAGAGTTCAGCATAGAGAAAGCACCATATACATGTTTGTTAAATCAAACTTGAATATCCCTACTTGCTGGGCCTCTTCTCTCAGGCCTGCCCAACCAGAGCGATTCTTGAGGTTGGTGGCATTTTCCTTCCTGTCTGTCAATGCACATCTGGCTGAATGTTCAAGGCCATAAGTTTGTTTGGTTTTTAGGGAGGGATGGCCAAATTGCCTCTAAGAAGAATAGGCCCTCTTATGAATATGGAAGCTTAGCAATGCCCTGTCCTTTCAGAATGGGAAAGTCATAGACCCCTGACATAAGCAGTGCCCACTTCTATGGTAGGAGACTACCAAGGATATTGCTAGTTCAGGCTGAGTAGGGCATTCTGACCTGCTGCCCACCAGCAAGGTTTGATTTGCCCTTTTTGGCATTGCAGAACACTACCTAATTTCCTCCTGGCTGAAGAATATTCTTCATTGACTAAGAGTTAATTCTGTCTTGTGTTAGGTAATCTGAATTCTGAGAGTTGAATTAGTAGAAATGGGATGGAGTAATTCTTGTATCTTAACTTTTGAGTTCTTATTAGGAGGAGACAGTGGCCTTTCAGCAAAGCAAGAAGTTTCTGCAAAACACACGCCAGCTTGTTCAAGAAGATCCTGTTGGGCCTGTTGTGTTTGGGTGAGATATTGAGAATTCATGAAAGTGAGAAACACAGTTATTTTAGAAATTTGCCTTGTGTCAAGGTGATTACCAGGTGGAAGGCATTTTTATTAAAAACTGATCTAAAAAGCTATTTGATGTATCGATCTTAACTACTTGTAGGTGAACCATAATGTATTGAATTGCACTTATAGGAACAAGTAAAATCTGAGAATAAACTGTTTTTCAAAAGTGTACTATTTGATAGATTTAAAATATTTCAGAGAATGTGGGCTTATCCTTTTTTTAGTGGCTTGATTTGGTGGAGTGCATGATTCTTACAGCCTTTATGACAGAAGCCTGTATTATACCTTACTTATTTGCTGGTTTACTAGTAAGATCAATGATGTAAAATATTCTTAAAAGACAGCGAAGCTCTGTTTAAAACATATATGGGGCTTTGATGTCAAAATAAGAGGCAGCTGGGATGGTGAGAGCAAAAATTATATTTTGGGATGAGTAAGACAGCCATGGGATGAGGTCCACATGGCTGCACTTCTTAGTGGTAGCCTTGTTTACATGGTTTGTTCCAGAGGCAAGGTTAAAGTGACTGGGGTAATAAAGTTTCAAGGGGAGATGGCTGACTTTTGAAGAGTCTAATGTGAACACTGATCAAATCTACTCCAAGGGACAGAGAGAGGATATTAGATAAAATAGAAAGGAATGAGATTTCATTAGGGATCGGTGAAAATATGCAGCCTTTGCACTAAGTCAGACTGTCCTTGGGAATCCTGAAGAAGAGGACAGTTAGACATCTATCCTGGCCTCAAGAAGTGCAGCTCCGTCTGACAGTAGGGCTGGGTGGCAAGGTCTCTGGAGGATTTTTCTTGCTTTAAGTCCCAGGCATTCATGACTGGAGTTCCATTTGCCCATTGGAAGCACTGCCTTGCTGATCATTACTCTGCATCTTCTCTTTTTAGCCTATGTTGCCTATTTCCTGGCAGCTTGCATCTTGAATTTCCAGAGGGCACTGGCCTTGTTTGTCATCACCTGCTTGGTGATATTTGTCCTGGTTTACTCATTTCTGAAAAAGCTCCTGGGCAAAAAATTAACAAGATGTCTGAAGCCCTTTGAAAACTCCTGCCTGAGGCTTTGGATGAAATGGTAAGATAAGAATCTCAATACCTGGCCTCACAGCTTATCCCAGTCCACCTCCTTTTTTCTCTTTTGATAGTTACTGAGCAGTCTCTCAGACCCACACACATGCTTTTCAGAACCAAAGTGCAGAGAAAAATAGCAACAGGCCTCTGAGCACAGGATCTCAGTCCAGATTCTTGTAGCCTTGGGTCTCAACCTTGCTAGGGGGCAGGAGGAGTTTAGTCTCAGAGAAGAGTTTTAGTCTGGTTGTCATCAGGGCCTGTGTCAGAAATGAGAAAACTCATACTCCTCCTCAGTGAAGTAATCAGAACACAGAGCCTTGCAGCTGCATTAAGCGATCAAATTGATTTGGTGTTCATCGGTGTCTCCCTTAGTTCCCTGATACATTTTATGCTTTTTTCTCTTTAGTCTCCCAGACTTCCTGCACCCACTGGTGCCTTTTACAATTCCTTAGAGTTTAAAGAGAAAACTTACAGTTATGTGTATTCTGAACTGGATTCTACAGCAGCCACAGCTCTAACAATGGCATGCACATGGCCTTTGATCACAGGCCAGGAGTGAGAGAATAACTTTCAGACTCTCTATAAGTTATTTGTTTTTCATTCACTGGGTTGATGACATGGTCTTGGCATTCCTTCTTCAGGGTGTTTGCAGGAGTCTCCTTGGTTGGCCTTATACTGTGGTTGGCTTTAGACACAGCCCAAAGGCCAGAGCAGCTGATCTCCTTCGCAGGAATCTGTATGTTCATCCTCATCCTCTTTGCCTGCTCCAAACACCACAGTGCAGTGAGTTTTGGGTATTTGGGTTGGGTATAGCAACACATGACCAAGGGCCAAGTGCTAATCATAAAGCACATGCATCAAGCATTAATTACAAGGGCATAGCACTAAGTTTGTAACAACCCCTAGAATTTGCCTCTTTGATAATTTTGTTTCTAAGAGGTTTAAAAAATTATCAGAGGCCCTAGACCACTTATTTTCAAACTGTAGATTGTGATCCATTAATGAATCTTGATACCAATTTTGTGAATCTAGGTCAGTGTTAAAGAAAGAACAAAAGAAAAAAAAATAAGGACGTAAAGGAAAATAGAATACAGTAGAAAATCAGTTTGCATTGCAGATAGTATTGTTAAAATAGTGATTTATAAAACTTTTATTTGTATGTATGCATGCATATATGTGTGTCTAAGTGTCATCTAACCTTTAGACACATTTTTTAAAAACCTTATGAACATATGTGGCTTTTTATATATTACTGCCCTGTTTCCCCCCACCATTGCCCCTGCTCCCTACACCATCAGACCCTAGACTTACTGTTAACATTCTAGGTTGGTTCCACCGAGAGTACATGTTTAAAACTCTTGTAATGGACAAGCGGAACTCACATTGGAATAATTTTCTTATTGATCCTAGGTGTCCTGGAGGACAGTGTTTTGGGGCCTTGGTCTTCAGTTTGTCTTTGGGATCTTGGTCATCAGAACTGATCTTGGATATAGTGCATTTCAGTGACTGGGAGAGCAGGTCCAGGTATGAGAAATTAAATGTGAGGGCTTTTCCCTTTTAGAACCCTAGAGAAAGGAGATTTGAGGGGAGCATGAGAAGATTAGGCTGTATCTTGTTAATGACGTGGTGGGAGATCTGGTTGGGAAAGGAGAGAGTGTATTAGGATACAGCTAAGAATATGAATAAAGAGCTCATGGGGACATAGCCTGCCCCTGGGCTGTCAAAGGGAGGCCAACCTCAGTAGCAACAGTAGGTCCTCAGGACGCATGGGGCTGGTCTCGTCTTCCTGTGTGTCCTTTTGGGTTTCATTCTTATTCTCTGTCTTTTTCTTTTTTTCCCTTCAGATTTTCCTGAACTACACTGTGGCCAGCTCCAGTTTTGTCTTTGGGGATACACTGATCAAGGATGTCTTTGCTTTTCAGGTGATACCTATTTTATGGGCAGGAATGACGGTCTGTGGAGGGGTGGAGGAATAAAGCGGAGGATGAAAGTGTGTGTCCAAGAGATCAGCCCCTGTGTACACCAATTTGACCCTAAGAAGAGGGTTTAACCCCATCAGTAAAGAAAATGGCGTCCATCTCCTTCCCTTTGGTCATTGCCATCCTAAAATTAGAAGAAATAGGAATTGGGGGAAAAGGGTCAGAAAACAGCTTGTGGTTTAGTACTGGTGGGATGATGGATTTAATACGTTTTAAATGTATCCCTAAACTACTTTGTGTGGGTACTGAATACCTACACTGTATGAGATGCCCTTGGAATGCTAAGAGCTTAACTTAGAAGCCTAAAACACAGTCAGTTTACACAGAGTATGCAATGTAACATCTCACCACCTGCTCACCATTCTCATTACAGGCCTTACCAATCATCATTTTCTTCGGATGTGTGATGTCCATTCTCTACTACCTGGGCCTTGTGCAATGGGTGGTTCAGAAGGTGAGTCATTCTCCTACACCAGCCAGGAGACAGGCCTTCATCTTGTCATCTGTCAGCTTTGGAAAAATGCCCAGAGCTAGGGTCTAGAGTGTTAGAAACAATGGGGAAAGGCAGGCCCTCTCAAGCATGCCTGATAGCAAACCGTCAGCCCAGGCCCTAGGTAGGCTGAGGGCAGAGCAGAGAGAAGATGAGCTGGACTGCCTTTGATACTGAGTTTTAATGTACTTGTTCTAAAGGCCATGAGTCCTGAATTCTGGTCACGGCTCTGTTTGTAAGTTGGTTTTTGGCCCTGGGCTTGCTGCTCTACTTCTCTAGGCCTCAGTTTCCTTATCAGTAAAATGAAGGAGGAGGAGTTTTGTGAGACGTTCTCCAAGATTCCTGCTAACATTAATGGTTTAGGTTTCTGTATTCTTCTAGGTCGCCTGGTTTTTACAAATCACTATGGGCACCACTGCCACAGAGACCCTGGCTGTGGCAGGAAACATCTTTGTGGGTATGGTAAGCATCTTGAGGCCTTTTGGTCTTGTTCTCTCTGAGGAACTGAGAATTTGGCACAAAACAAGAGTATGCTTTCCTTCTGAAAAGTCAAATATATGAAGACTGTGGGGCAGCCAATCTCAGATGAGAGAGAACTCAGCAGCTCAAAGAAGACGCTGCTCATTGCGTTCACCGTTTGTGCCTAATAACACTTCCCTGGTCATACTTAATCTGGAGGGATAGCCTTCACCACTTCTAACAACCACTTCCTATATAGGAATGTAGGGAATATCCTGGTCCAACTCGTATCCCCTTTTGGAGGCTATGAAGAGTGTTTGATCCTCATTCTGGTTTCTCCCTGTGACTCCCTGTGGTACTTGGTTTCCACAGTCTCTAAGGAGGACATCACTTGTCTTGCTTATGGCTAATGCCAAGGCTCTTCCTCATAATACTTGCTTGGTACATTCGTCTGTATGGAGTAGTGCTCCATATGTGCTACTGACCAGCTCAGTGTTGGGGACAATGACTTGTACATTCACAGGGAGTTAGTACTGAGGTCTTTCTCTCCCAAGGCTCTAGGTTGCTTCTGAAGTGTTCTCAGAGTACTTCTGGATACTTTATCATAGCACTCCACATTTTGCTGAAATTATTCATAATCAGCCTAGTTTCCTATGTGAGACTATAAGCTTCTAAGAGTAAGGACTTTGCCTTATTTATATTAATGTCCTTAGCATCTAGTACAGTGCTAGGCACATAGTTGGCACTTGTTAAATAATAGATATCATTATCTTAGGTCAGTGCTGGATATGGCTTACATAGATGGCCCTTCATAATTTCATAACATTTTCACAAACATTATTTCTTTTGATTATTTCATAAACAGGGGGTTTGGATCATCTATTTGTATTTCATTTAATGAGTACTGTTTAAGCATCTAGTATGGGCCGGGCGCGGTGGCTCAAGCCTGTAATCCCAGCACTTTGGGAGGCCGAGACGGGCGGATCACGAGGTCAGGAGATCAAGACCATCCTGGCTAACCCGGTGAAACCCCGTCTCTACTAAAAAATACAAAAATCTAGCCGGGCGAGGTGGCGGGCGCCTGTAGTCCCAGCTACTCGGGAGTCTCGAGGCAGGAGAATGGCGTGAACCCGGGAGGCGGAGCTTGCAGTGAGCTGAGATCCGGCCACTGCACTCCAGCCTGGGCGACAGAGCGAGACTCCGCCTCAAAAAAAAAAAAAAAAAAAAAGCATCTAGTATGTTCTCATTAAGTGCACTGCATTCCATAAGTTTAGTAAGTGTGTGGTTTTACACATTGAGAATATACAAAGAAAAGATACCATTTCTCTTCTATAACATTTTAACATGTCAATAGATGAAACAAGCATGTATGGAAACGTGTGAGAACTATGCCAGCCAGGACATGATTGGGTGCCAGAGGAAGTAAAGCAGATGCCGGATGGGCCTGACAGCTGGGCTCCATGCTAAGTGAAGCTGTGGCTCACTGAACAGTGCTCACACTGGATGGATGTGTGTCTAGAGGGTCCAGCCCCTGGGGCTGGGGTGGACACTCTGGCGTGGGGAGTTGCTCCTTCTCGGAATCTGACTGTTTTCTCCATGTTTGTAGACAGAGGCACCTCTGCTCATCCGTCCCTACCTTGGGGACATGACACTCTCTGAAATTCATGCAGTGATGACTGGAGGGTTTGCCACCATTTCCGGCACTGTGCTGGGAGCCTTCATATCCTTCGGGGTAGGTATAGTCTGCTTGATCACTCCCAGGTGAGCTTGAGTTGGATTTGACAGAAACACTGATGCCTAAGTCTGGCTTCACAGGTTGATGCATCATCCCTGATTTCTGCCTCTGTGATGGCCGCCCCTTGTGCTCTCGCCTTGTCAAAGCTAGCATATCCGGAAGTGGAGGAGTCCAAGTTCAAGAGCAAGGAGGGAGTAAAGCTGCCCCATGGGTGAGTCCAAGGAGGCATATACTTTGGGAGATAGTGAGCTGTAGTTAAGAGTGGCACTGTGGTGGCAGAGACTTCAAGTCTCTCTGAGGGGGAATAATGTGATTCCATATTCCTTCTTGCCTATCTCTGATGCTTGCTAATCATGCTAGTTTTCTTCATTTAACCCTCCCCCCTGGCAGTAGCTTCTGCATGCCAGTACTCTCTGTCCTTGCCATCAGTGCAATTACATGACAATTATATCTGATATCGCTTCAGAGTAATTTCCACTAATAGGGTCTCTGAGGAACCCCGTCACCTTCTGCATTGGCCTTGCACCCTCCTCCCACACGATAGGAACAGTGGGATTTCTCTTCTCTAAGGGGCTGAGACTACTGTAGACACTTTACTCTTGCCCTCTGCCCAATGACCACAGGAAGGAGAGGAATGTCCTGGAAGCTGCCAGCAACGGAGCCACAGATGCCATAGGCCTTGCTGCTAATGTAGCAGCCAACCTGGTTGCCTTTTTGGCTGTGTTGGCTTTCATCAATGCTGCCCTCTCCTGGCTGGGAGAACTGGTGGACATACAGGGGCTCACTTTCCAGGTAAAGGATTACATTTTTTGGGCTGTCCCTCTGGGATGTAGTTAGGTAGCCCTTCAACCATGCATGTCCTTCTGACCCACAGTAAGCCAAGAGAGAGCATGCATATAGAAGGGTGGAGGAGAGTGGGCCACGGCTCTAGAGAAGGTCCTTGGCACCTGACCTTTGTTATTAGTCCTTCCTCTTTCACTGGGATATCTCTGTTTCACTCAGGTCATCTGCTCCTATCTCCTAAGGCCCATGGTTTTCATGATGGGTGTAGAGTGGACAGATTGTCCAATGGTAGCTGAGATGGTGGGAATCAAGTTCTTCATAAATGAGTTTGTGGCTTATCAGCAACTGTCTCAATACAAGAACAAACGTCTCTCTGGAGTGGAGGAGTGGATTGAGGGAGAGAAGCAGTGGATTTCTGTAAGTGACAATCCAAAAAGCATAAACACCGTGAGGTCTCAACCATGGTTATCTGAGGGTAGACAGAAAGTGCCACACAGGTTTGTTGCAGACCTAACTACAAAGCGAGCAGAACAGCATACCTAGGAGCCTCGTTTGCAGCGCCTGAGCTATTATCAGTCTGCATGGTATTTTCCCCTGCCCGCCCCCACCACTGCCCCAACTCTGACCCAATTTCTCTCTATAATGTAATTGCTGGGTCTTTACAGCTGGGGCAGTCCAGGGCAGACACTATCTTCTGGTGGCCTAAGGTCCCCTTCTTCATTTAAAAGTTTAAATTGCTCCAAATTAATATCCTTTTTCTTTCCCTTTGCCTCTTTCCTTTTCCTTTGTAATCCTCATTCTCAGGCCTTCTCCTTATTCATAGCCTTCAACAAGAACAGCGTTGGGCAATGAGGCCCATGGTGGTTTCCATGTCATTATCCCTATAGTAACTCAGGGAACAGATATTTTCTGAATAATCTTGGGAAACCATGGAAAAGATTGGGGGCTGTCAGTACGCTGGAACTTCTCTTGTGGTTATAACACTGCACGCATGGGACTGAATTTATTTACTTATTTATTTTTGTTTTCCCTAGGTAAGAGCTGAAATCATTACAACATTTTCACTCTGTGGATTTGCCAATCTTAGTTCCATAGGAATCACGCTTGGAGGCTTGAGTGAGTTCATCTATTTTCCCAGCTCCCCAGTAAGACAGCCAGATCCCAGCTTCTGCAGTGGGCAGTCCTGGTGCTTCAGTACAAGTTGGGATCAGACAGAGAAGCCATTGTGAAATGGACCCATTTCTTAGGCTGCAGACAACTTGGACCTAAGGCAGTCAGGCCCTTGAGATTATAAAGGGCTATGTATAGAGCCCTTTATAATCTCAACTTCAGTTACTTTTTCTGTTTGGATTGGAGGCCCCAAAAACTAATTTTATTTTACTTTTCTCTATGAAGAAGAAAATATAATGATATTATTTCAATTTTGCCATTAAACTGGAGGAGTGCATATGTAAATAAAGATATTTATTTATTTATTTGAGACAGAGTCTCACTCTATTGCCCAAGTTGGAGTGCAGTGGTGTGATCTCAGCTCATTTCAACCTCCACCTCCTGGGTTCAAGCGATTCTCGTGTCTCAGCCTCCTGAGGTGGGATTACAAGTGTGTGCCACAATGCCCACAATTCTTTTTTTTTTTTTTTTTGTATTTCTAGAAGAGATCGGGTTTCACCATGTTGGTCAAGCTGGTCTTGAACTCCTGGCCTCAAGTGGTCTGCTGCCTTGGCCTCCCAAAATGTTGGGATAATAGGCGTGAGCCACCGCGCCTGGTCTTGTATTTTATTCAGTAGTGAAGACACTTTTTGAAATTAGGCTGCTCACTAGTACTCATGGAAACACAAAGAATTAAAACAAATAAAAGCAGCAGGCACATAAGGCAGATAGATAGTAAGGGAGAGTGGTGTAAAGTGTTGGATTTAAATCTGCAAGTACCAAACATTAAAGGAGTGGGTCTTTGAAGCAGACACAGATGTATTTAGACTGTTGGAGATACTGCTGCATGGGGGTGATGGTTGGAGGAATAATATGAAGACAGTGGAATTGTCCTTGAGTGCAGGGGCACAGGGATGACTAGCAGATCCGAAGTTTGGAAGATCCAAGTTAGAAATGGATCTTAGGCTGGATGTGGTGGCTCACGCCTGTAATCCCAACACTTTGGAAGGCCAAGGCAGGAGGATTTCTTGCTGTAGGAATTTGAGAGCAGCCTGGGGCAACATGGTGAGAGTCTGTCTCTACGAAGAATTTAAAAGTTAGCCAGGCATATTGGCACATATGCCTGTAGTCCTAGCTACTTGGGAGGCTGAGGTGGGAGGATTGCTTGAACTGAGATCAAGGCTTCAGTAAGCTGTGATCGCACCCCTGCAGCCTGGCGTGGGTGACACAGGGAGGTCTGAAGGAAAGAAGGAGGGAGGGAAGGAAGGAAGGAAGGAAGGAAGGAAGGAAGGAAGGAAGGAAGGAAGGAAGGAAGGAAGGAAGGAAGGAAGGGAGGGAGGGAGGGAGGGAGGGAGGGAGGGAGGGAGGGAAGGAAGGGATTATAATAAGAAATATAGCTCAGTGTGTCCCTTTTTAAAGGCAATTATATTCTGGGGTAGAGTCATTTAATTCATGTATTTGGTAGCCGATTTAATTGAAAGGTGAAATAATTCCCTTTCAGTTTATCTTTTCCCCTTCTGTTAAACACCTGTCTCTATTGTTCTAGTCTTGATGCCTGATTACTGTCCGATTATGAGATTGCCATCTAGTAGTGGGATATGCACTGTGTGGCTAAGTCTTAGGTGAGTGTTGCTTTCCTTAGCCCTCTGTCTCAAAGTAGTCCATCTAATTCTGGTCCAGGCTTAACAGTGCATATCTCAAGCGGCGAACGCCAGGCATTTGTACCTGTCTGGAGCAACCCAGAGCCTTGCTTAATCCAGATATGTCTTGGGTATGTTCACAGAACCATTAAAGTGAGGGTCAGACACTCAATCCTTGATCTGAGGAAAGTCTAAGTTAGTGATCCCTCAGGACTAATGTACACACACACTTCTTAGGGCAACACTGGCCAGTCTCAGGTGGATGGTAATAAGGATGCTCTTCATCGGCTGTGTTTTGTTCCTCTGAGTTCTTCTAAGTGGGGGGATATACCTGATAGCCTGATGGGGAAAGGCTGAAGCTATTTTATTTTATTGTCTGCAGCATCAATAGCACCTCACCGGAAGAGTGACTTGTCCAAGGTTGTGGTCAGGGCCCTCTTCACAGGGGCCTGTGTATCCCTTATCAGTGCCTGTATGGCAGGTAGGTGCCTCAGCTCTGATGGAGATACCACTGCATGAGGGTGATGATTGGAGGAATAATATGGGGAAGGTGGAATTGTCCTTGACTACAGGGGCAGCAGAGATCACTTCCCTAGATCATGACAGGATGTCTTTCAGAATATTGATTCACCCATCCATTCCACAGATATATGGCAAAGGCGCCTAATCAACAGTGTCCACAATTCGTACCAAAAGAATAAAGAGCCTTGAGAAGCATGTGTCAGATCTTCCTCTCAGTATCTCTGTCTTCTTTATCCAGGAATCCTCTATGTCCCTAGGGGAGCTGAAGCTGACTGCGTGTCCTTCCTAAACACAAGTTTCACCAATAGAACCTATGAGACCTACATGTGCTGCAGAGGGCTCTTTCAGAGGTGAGCACCAGAACCCCATTCCCGCATGAGAACGCACGGCCCTCAGGTCTCCAGGGTAATGCTGTTGAGGTTGAATAGAGTGTATGAGAAGGGCCGTGAGTATTGGTAATGGCCTAGATCAATGTTCTTTTCTCTTATTGGGTGCATCTTCATTACTAGCTTAGTATGCTCCAGTGACAGGGTCTACCTGTGTCGGTGGGCCACTGAGAAGTAGAGCAGTAAGGGAAGAAGAAAAATGGTTTCCCTGATAAGAAGTTACTCTACTGGCTGGGCATGGTGGCTCACACCCGCAATCCCACACTTTGGGAGGCTGAAGCGGGAGGATGACTTGAGCCCAGGAGTTCAGGACAAGCCTGGGCAACATAGCGAGACTTGTCTCTATTTTATATTAATTAAAAAAAGAAATTACTCTACTTATTGTGATTGGAATACAGATAGGTTATAGGTAGATTTAGCAATGGTTATAAGTGGCTAAAATATTAAACGCTTCTTCAGACAGAAATGAAGAAAACTGAGAGAGGATAAAGTTGAATTTATAAAATCATGATGAGCTCAGGTAGTGTAAAAACGAACTTGTTTACCAAAATCTAGAATATGAAAAGAAGGTAGTCTTGACGTAAGCTAGCTGGCATGGCGTCCTGCATTGCAGCGGGGCACGGGACTGCAATGGGCCTAGGTCGGATTTTCCAAGCCGCCAGGACTTTGTTCCCCGCGCCGGCCTCTTTCGCCTGCAGGGTCCACGCGGGGCCTGTCCGGCAGCACAGCACTGGGCCTTCCGAGCCCGGCGCGTTCCAGCCGCCGCCGAAGCCAGTCATCATGGACAAGCGCCGCCCGGCGGAACAGGAATGCAGGTTCTTGAGTCCTGAATTCATTCCTCGAAGGGGAAGAACAGATCCTCTGAAATTTCAAATAGAAAGAAAAGATATGTTAGAAAGGAGAAAAGTACTCCACATCCCGGAGTTCTATGTTGGAAGTATTCTTCGTGTTACTACAGCTGACCCATATGCCAGTGGAAAAATCAGCCAGTTTCTGGGATTTGCATCCAGAGATCAGGAAGAGGCCTTGGAGCTACTTTTATCCTTAGGAATGTTATTGAAGGACAAGGTGTTGAGATTTGCTTTGAACTTTATAATCCTCGGGTCCACGAGACTGAAGTGGTCAAATTAGAGAAACGGCTGGATGATAGCTTGCTGTACTTACGAGATGCCCTTCCTGAATATAGCACTTTTGATGTGAATATGAAGCCAGTAGCACAAGAGCCTACCCAGAAAGTTCCTGTTAATGAGCTGAAAGTGAAAATGAAGCCTAAGCCCTGGTCTAAACGCTGGGAACGTCCAAATTTTGATATTAAAGGAATCAGATTTGATCTTTGTTTAACTGAAGAGCAAATGAAAGAAGCTCAGAAGTGGAGTCAGCCGTGGCTTGAATTTGATATGATGAGGGAATATGATACTTCAAAAATTGAAGCTGCAATATGGAAGGAAATTGAAGCGTCGAAAAGGTCTTGATTCTGAGAATGAATTTGATTAGTTGCAGAAGATTGTTGGCTCTAAGAGGATATATTTTGAGACCAATTTAATTTCATTTATAAGAACATAGTAATTAAGTGACCTAAACATTCATTGTTTTAATACTTTTTTCTAAAATAAAACTTGTACACCAGTTTATTACTCTAAAAAGAGAATTACACATGCCAAATGGTCCGATGTCCATTTGCTTATTGGAGGTTAAGCTACAATAGAAGTCAGAGCATCACCAGAATGTTCTTTAATGAGCATGGAACCTGAGCAAGGGGAATAGTTGGGGTGATTTTTTGTAAATTGTGAAACAATTCATAAGCACAATAATGTATGATTTACAGAATAATAAAATAAACATTCATGTATCCACTATCAGGTTAAGAAATCGAACATTTAGTAATATGTAAGAATGTTAAGAAATAAAACATTAAATAAGAAAAAAAAAAGAAAAGAAGAGGGTATGTCATTAATCTAAAAGAACTAGTTTTGGAACACACAAAAGGAAAGATTTCAGGAACTAGAATGTTTGGTGCCTTCAAATCAAAAGATGTGTGTGTATTGGTGGTGATATGTGCGTGAGTGAAGAGAGTGGTGGGAAAAAAGGCTGAGAGATCATAAGAAGCCTTGTATGAAATACTAAAGAATTTAGGTTTTGACCTGCTGAATTCCGAACACTGGCATGATCAACTATGCTGTTTCAACATATCATTTCGGTAGCCATTTGGATGGCAAGGAGACCAACAAACACCCTGCTGTAATAGTCCTAGTGAGAGATGGTAAGAATTGATACTAAGTGGTTGTAAGGTTGGAGATACACTAGATCCAGTAGAATCAATAGGATTGATCATTGGCTAGATAGGAGGCTAAGAGGTGGGGTGAAGAAGAGGAAGGAGTCTCAAATGACTGTCTCTTTTCTGGCATGAGCAAGTGGGTCTAAGGAGTGCCATTCATGCACAGAAGAGGAGGACTAGTTTCAGGAATGGGAGTAAAAGGGAGAGATTATGGCTTAATTCAGTTTTTGCTTTTTATATTTATTTATTTATTGTATGGAGATGGGGTCTCACTATGTTGCTCAGGCTGGTCTTGAACTCCTGGGATTGAGTGATCCTCCCATTTTGGCCTCCCAAAATGCTGGGATTACAGGCCTGAGCCACCATGCCCAGCCTTAATTCAGTTTTTGATGTGTTAACTTGGAGGTAGTTGCAGGACCACCCTGTGAAGGTAGTCAAAATTCACCTCAGTATGCTCACTGGAGCATACTAAGCTAATAATGAAGATGCACCCAATAAGAGAAAAGAACACTGATCTAGGCTGTTACCAATACTCACAGCCCTTCTCATACACTCTATTCAACCTCAACAGCATTACCCTGGAGACCTGAGGGCTGTGCGTTCTCACACGGGAACTTCAAGAGAGAAATCAGAGCTGGAGATAAATTTAAAAGTTATAGGCTAGACACAGTGGCTCACACCTGTAATCCTAGCACTTTGGGAGGCCAAGGCAGGAGGATCGCTTGAGCTCAGGAGTTCAAGACCAGCCTGGGCAACATGGAGAAACCCCATCTCTACTAAAACAAAACAAAATAAAACAAAACAAAACTAGCCAGGCATGGTGGTGTGTGCCTATAGTCCCAGCTACCTGGAGAGGCTGAGGTGGCAGGATCACTTCAGCCCAGGAATTAGAGACTGCAGTGAGCCATGATCCACTGCAGTCCAGTCTGGGTGACAGGGTGAGACCCTGTCTCAAACAAACAAAGATTTGGAAGTTATTAAGTGGTCTGTTCACTATACAGGTAGATATTCAGGTGCTAGCTGCTTGACAGGTTACTGGGCCAAGTTCATGAATGTTGCCCCTCCTGTGTTTGGAGGTTATCATCAGAGAAGGCAACTAATGTATTTTTTTTAAAAAATCCTTTTGATGCACTATTAAAGATGAGGTATGAGCTGGATTCATCATTGCTCTGGCATAGTTTTGATTCTTTTTTTTTTTTTTTTTTTTGAGACACAGTCTCGCTCTGTTGCCCCGGCCGGAGTGCAGTGGCACAATCTTGGCCCAGGCTCAAGCAATCCTTTTATGTCAGCCTCCTGAGTAGCTGGGACTACAGGCCAGGCGCATGTCACCGTGCCTGGTTAATTTTTACTTTTTGTAGACACGGACGTTCGTCATGTTGCCTGATTCTTATGTTCTTGTGGCATTTTGGTGGATTTTCTAAAGCCACATACTGAAGATCATTAGCATCTAGAATATGAAAGACATAATGTTTTTGTCCAATTAATTTACACTAATTAAGTGTAAGCTGTTTTCAAGAGGAAGGTGGCCTTGGAATACCACCTTACTTTTTAGAATCAATTCAATACTAAATCATTATAAGCCATACATTTTGACTCAGGGATATCTGGAAATTTCCAAATGGTCTGTGGTTAGGAGTTGGGCAAAGGCGCAGACACACATAGTTGAGGGTTTCTTGCCAGTATTATCTTGGGAATGAATGAGAAAAGAAATGTAATTGGGTTCTGTTTATTTGGTCATGGTTGATGGATCAATTTTCAGGTTTTTGTTTTTGTTTTCAGCTGCTTAGTATAACTTATTGATATGTTTTGTTGCTTTGTTCCTGTCTGACCCTGCTATGTACCTCTCTGGTTTTTCGTTGCAGTACTTCTCTGAATGGCACAAACCCTCCTTCTTTTTCTGGTCTCTGGGAAGACAAGGAGTTCAGTGCTATGGCCCTTACTAACTGCTGTGGATTCTACAACAATACCGTCTGTGCCTAAGGCTGCTTCATCTATTTCCATAACAGTTTTGATCTTATCAGCTTTGTGATTGCAAAGGTGTTTATGTACTCAGGGTTCCCACAACTCACTCACCAAGATCTTTAACAGTAAATAACAGTAAATGTTAAAAGATTCATTTTGGGCCAGGCGTGGTGGCTCATGCCTGTAATCCCAGCACTTTGGGAGGCTGAGGTAGGTGGATCACAAGGTCAGGAGATGAAGACCATCCTGGCTAACACGGTGAAACCCCGTCTCTACTAAAAATACAAAAAATTAGCCACAGGGGGGTGGCAGGCACCTGTAGTCCCAGCCACTCGGGGCGCTGAGGCAGGAGAATGACGTGAACTCGGGAGGCGGCGCTTGCAGTGAGCCGAGATTATGCCACTGCACTCCAGCCTGGGCGACAGAGCGAGACTCCGTCTCAAAAAAAAAAGATTCATTTTGGTTCACTGTATCTCAATAATGAAAAATAGCTTTTGTTTTTCCATTATTTGGCTGAACTAAAAAATGACATTCCTCATGGGCGCTGCCTGAACTTTTATTTGAAAAAATAAGTATTACTATATCAAAAAAGTCTTACAAATCATGCTCCTAGCTGCCACCTTAAAAATAATGTGATGCAGTGTGCTATAAATGTGATTTAGTATGTAATGTGCCTGGGACGGGAGAGAAGCTATATTTCTTGGCGTTGCGGATGAGCCGGATTTATATTACTGATGTTACATTTGAAAGGTATATGAATCTTTAGTGATAAGATTTTTCTGGTTGTCAAACATTTGTAAATCTGCAAACTTCTTAACAACATTACACAGTAAACAAAAAATACTTCCTGTATACTAAGGAAGACTTCTAGGGAATATCCATTTCTTAAAGGCCATTACTTTGTTGTAGTATTCTGCTTTAGTGCTAGCCACATTTGCTCCAACTTTATGAGGAAGCCTTTAAAACAGTAATTTTCAGTGGGAAGGGGGCCAATCTTGCTTTTCAGAGGACATCCGACAGTATCTCCAGACATTATTGGTGATTGAAGTGGGAGGATGCTACTGACATCTAGTGAGTAGAGGCCAATATTGCTACTAAAATTCCTGTAACCAAAGGTCAGCTCTCCCACAACAAAGAATTACCGGGTCCCAAATGTGAATTGTGCTGAGACTCAGAAACTCTGATTCAAAATATTTACTATATTTAATAGTATTTATTATATTAATATTATGGCCTTAAGGAAGGGTTTCAAAAGGATATAGGAGTTCCTCAAAAAGTTAAACACAGAATTACCATAGAGCCCCACAATTCCACTCCTACATATATATATTCAAAAGAATTGAAACTAAGTTCTCAAACAAGTACATGTACATGCATGCTCACAGTAGCACTATACACAATAGCCAAAAATTTGATACAGTCTAAATGTCCATCAATGGATAAATTGTGTTACATACACACAACGGAATTTTATTCACCCAAAAAAAAGAAGTACTGATTTATGCTATGTAGAAGAAACCCAAAAACATGCTAAATTAAAGAAGCCAGACACAAAAGGCTTATTATTGTATGATTCCATTTAGATGAAATATTCACAATATTTAAATCCATAGAAGGGAGATTGGTGGTTGCCAGGGCCTGGGGGAGGAGGGATCAGAGAGTGACTCCTTAACGAGTTTGGGGTTTTCCTTTGGGGTGACAGGAATGTTTTGGAACTAGACCGAGGTGGTGGTTGTGCAACATTGTGAATGTTATGTCACTGAATTGTTCACTTTAAAATGGCTGTTTATGTTATGCGAATTTTACCTCAATAAAAAATTTTTTAGAAGGATTCAGGTACTTGTATCTTCCCTTAGCTAATCTACCTCCTTCAATTTCCCAATTCTCTGAGCTCAGAACCACTTGGTCGTCTTCTCAGTCTCCATTCCTATTTTCTCTCCCGTTTTCCAAACTTGACAGAAAAAGGAAACTTCAATAAATTGTTTCTTGAACTACAGATGAATATTACTCCATGCCTGGTTTATTCTGAGAGGCAGCAGAATGCAATGGTTGGTAGTATTAGACGCCAGATTACTTGAATTCTGATTCAAGCTCTGCCAGTTATCACTAAGGTGATTTTGGACAAGTTCCTTAACTTCTCTGTGCCTTGGCATCCTCATCTATAAAATAAGGATAGTGAGACCCACCTTATAGGTAAAGATAGTGACATTGCTGTAAAGGGATTACCTGTTTTCTGTTGCTCATAACAGAATATGTGAAACTGGGTGATTTATAAAGAAAAGAAATTTATTTCTTAGAGTTATGGAGGCTGAGAAGTCCAAGGTCATGAGGCCACACCCAGTGAGGGCTTCTTGCCAGTGGGGACTGCAGAGTGCAGGGGCGGTGCAGGGCATCACACGGTGAGGGGCTCAGTGTGCTAGCTCAGGTCTCCTCTTTTTATAAAGCCACCAGTCCCTCTCCGTGATAACCCATTAACTCATGAATGGATTGGTCCATTCAGGACGGCAGAGCCCTCATGACCCAATCAGGTCTTCAAGACCCCATTCTCAATATTGCCACACTGGGGATTACGTTTCAACATGAGTTTCCGAGGCGGCATTCAAATCACAGCAGGGAACAAGAGTGACTGCTCGCTCCAAGTCTAATGTAAGGTTAGCTATTACTATTAGTTGTTACTAATACTATACTTACTATAATGCTATAGTAATAGTATTATAGATTATAGTAGTAATAATACCATTACTACTATTTAGGAACCTGAGTTCATGGCTATCGATTTGTTGAGTAATGTATGAAATTCAGTTCACACAAGGAAGCATGAGAGAAGGGGGCTCTTTATCTCCCTCCCGGGCGGCGGTCAACTTTTTAATTCGGTTTTTAATTCTCAGGTTCCTACTTAAAGTAAACTTGGCCTAAACTCTCCCTCGTAAAGGGCTTCTCTGTAAATGCGGGAGGCATGCCAATCTCAACACCAGTGTCTGCAGAACACTGTCAAAGGCAGGAGGCAACAGCAAAAACAGGTGCTCACTGCGTCCTCCACAAACGCGACTGGGCGCGAGGCGCTGCCAGGCGAGGGCGGAAGTGATCTGAGCGGGTGTGGGTCGCCCTGGTTGGGTGAAAGGGCCAGTCAATCCTGGGAGGCCCAAAACCGGGACCAATCGCTCTTCGGCTCCGCCCTGGGTGCGAGGAAAACACGCCCACCCCGCGTTCTGGGCGGTGCCACGGCGCACGCGCGTTCCTGCCGCAGCTAGTCTACCCGGTTCCTGATCCCGGACGCTGAGAGGAAGAGCAGGCGGAGCGGGAGAGTACTGAGAGAAAAAGACGGAACAGCGCTGTGTTGGGCGAGGAGTAGTAGCTGGGATGAGGAGAGGAGAGAGACAGGCTGCGTCACCGAATGGGCAGTCTGTTATCTTAAAGTACGCCGTAAAGCCTCTCTTTTGCCTGTTGTTTTACAGCCTGACCTTTTTGCTTTATGTGTATGGACATCTTTCTAGGCCAGTACTTACAGAGCTACCTCATTTTATTTATTTATTTATTTGTTTGTTTGTTTGACACAGGGTCTGGCTCTGCTGCCTAGGCTGGAGTGCAGTGGCACGATCTGGGCTTACTGCAGCCTCCACATCCCTTCAAGCAATCCTGCCTCCACCTCCCTAGATGCTGGGACCACAGGCATGTGCGAATTTTTTTTTTTGTTTTGTAGAGACAGGGTCTCGCCATGAACGTTTGTGTCTCGTGAAATTCATATGTTGAAATTCTCCTCCAGGGAGATATTAGGAGATGGAACAAGAGGGTGGAGCTTTTATGGGAGGGATTAGGTCATGAGGGTGAAGCCCTCATGAGTGGAATTAGTGCTCTTATTAAAAAGGCCTGAGAGAGGTCCCTTACCCCTTCTGCCATGTGAGGTTACTGTGAGATGATGGCTGTGAGATGATGATGAGGAACTGGCCCTCATCAAACACCAGATCTTATAGTGCTTTGATCTTGGACTTCCTATCTCCAGAATTGTGAGAAAAGAATTTCTTTAGTTTAAAAGACGCCTAGTCAAAGGTATTTTATCACAGTAGCCTGTGCAGACTAAGACAAATAGTTTCTCCGTATCTCTACCATAAATTTATTATATTTCTTTTCAGTGGCACCTGGCTCCATGTCCTGTATATGTCTGACTTGTAGAGGCCAGAGGTAGGCTCAGAAGGATGGGGTTAGGGGATGAGTTAGGTCCAGCTGGTAGTTGATGAGGGTGGCCTGAGGGATCCAGACAGGAAGCTCCATGCCGTGTTTATGGTATAAGGCCAAAGATCAGAACTGATGGAGCCAAATCTGTTCTCAGGTAATGGGAGTGAGGTAAATCCAGTAATGGGGAACTAGGTCATCATATCGTTTTTGTTTTGTTTTGTTTTGTTTTTTTGAGATGGGGTCTCACTTTGTCACCCAGGCTGGAGTGCAGTGGCACCATCTCAGCTCACTGCAGCCTTCACCTTCCAGGCTCAAGTGATCCTCCCACCTCAGCCTCCCGAGTAGCTGGGAGCACAGGTGCATGCCACCATGCCTGGCTAATTTTTGCATTTTTGGCAGAGATGGAGTTTCACCATGTTGCCCAGGCTGGTCTTGAACTCCTGAGCTCAAGCAATCCACCTGCCTCGGCCTTCCAAGGCAACTGCACCCAGCCAGGTCATCAAATACTTTCAACACAATTGCCAGACACTCAGGATAAACGTCTGTCATCAACAGGAAAGCATAGTTTAGGAAATTGATTCAAAATTACCTAAATAAAATATATGTTACCTCTTATATTTTCATTAGACTGAGTAACTTTGATCAGTTTCTGTTTTTAAAAACTCAGCTCTTGCTTCCAGACAAGCAAATGGTGTATTTCTTTAAAGCCCAAAATTTACTTTGTGATTGTCTCAAGGTTCATGCCTCTCACATTCATCAGTAGATTTCCCTTGACTATAAAAATCCTTTCCATAAATTCGAAGCAGGAATCAAAACATAATATTGAAGCAGTTTAACAAATACAGAGTGGAAAGGTTTTTTTGCTGAAATTGTATTTCCACTTGTCAAGAGCTGTTGTTCCCTGAAGGGAGGTAAACATTATGACTGTGGCATTGAGTGCCTCATTAAGAAAAATGGGAGGAGAGAGCCCTGTTTTTCATGGTGACAAGATTCAGATTTGAACTCTTCATTAAATTAAGAATATTTCTTTATGATTAACCAAACTCAGAGGACAGTGTCACAAATTTA